GTTAATGAATCTTCACAACAAAAACAATCATTCAAAATAAGCTAATGGCCTTAATTACCCTCTGCATTGTTGAAAACATTATTTGAGATAAGTTGCTGATCATCTTCATTAGACATCCTTTTTCCTGAGACTGAAATGTCTTAAAACCTAGATCAAAGCCTACATTTTTATCAACGATATTATAAGGAAAGCAAAAAATTAAAAATAAACAAATTACGTTTATGTAAAAGTTTTCTTACTTGAATTAAGGTAGAGAAGTTCAGTGCAGAATTGAGGCAACGTCAATGTCAATTTCTATTGAAATCAACATCGTGGATGAAATTTTGTGATGTAGGTTAAATGGTAGTCGGAGTTGTCAATTGAAGATCTTCAATCGAAGTACTGGACCAATTGAGGCATTCAATCATTGTTTACTGGTCGAAGAAAAAGGAGATCGTTAGAGGGAGAATGTGAGTTCATCCCAGTAAGAAGACAAAGTCGATCATGGAGAAAGGCGGTAAGAATCGCTTTTCATTGTTTTCGATCGTGAGGTTAAAAAAATAAAAAATATATTGGTCAAAAATACCCCTACAGTTTAAAGTTTTATGCTAAATTTCAATCGTTGGATCGTTATCTTATAAAATTGATCGATGGATATAAGTTGGTCTTACGGGTCTCACCAAAAGCTATTGGTCTCACATGAACCCAACCCTATATATTTATGTATATATATACTAGAAGGGTACTTGCACAATACAGTGAGTTACATCTCAATTTTAATATTTCGTTCTTTTGTCTTAATCAATGTTATAATACGTTTTTATGTGATTTTGAAAAAACGATAATATTTTTATTTTTAAATAAAATATAAATATAAAGATATATCATAAAAAATGGAAAAAAAAAATTATTGATATTGGTACCAAACTAACTATTTAAATTTATTTTTTTGTGTATTTCTTTAATTCATTTTTTTATTTTTGTTAATAATATAACTTTTTATAAAGATAATAATTAAGTATTTTGTTAGAACTCA